TTAAATATGAAAGATTACAAAATAGATATCTAAATATTGATAATTTGTTGTTACAAAATAAAATAACAAATAATAGAACATATTATTGCATTAAACGTTATTAATAATAGTTGTGACACTTTATTTGCACTTAATCTTGAACGTTTTTATCAATTGACCCTGCCTTCTTTAGAAAATATTCGCTCAACATCTGGTTTAACAATTGTCTCCGATAAAAATCACTAAACAGGTAGGAAGTAATATTTTACCACTTCGGAACTTTGAATCGTGCACTACAATGCAAATGGACATCATCAGGGTAGCATGTGAACTACAGACGGAGAGTAAGACATAGGGAATCGGTACCGGGATTGTATCGATAGAATTTAATTTAATTTAATCTTTTCTTGATACGAATTGGCGTCCACAATCAATCAGGCGATTTAAAATAGGTCCAACAGTTTTTCAAAAACTTCTTGTAGTGGATTTGAGGCACAATTTTGTTGCACAACATCGATTGTTAGTTCTTAAAACAATATTTAACAGTAGGTACACGGCAATGTGCAATCTCATTTGCAATGATAAATACCCAGTCGTTTGAAGATGATTTTCAAAAATGTGTAATACATTTTTCTGCAAATTGATGGACGATCCGCATTTTTTTGCACTTAAGCTGCTTTAGTATGTATAATTGTGTGTGTACTTTAATTGGAAATTTACAAGAAGGCGAAACTCGAACAGGCATTTAGTACATGAGCACCCTTAACCTAGTATTTGCAGTATCTGCAGCTCCTCCCTTGATAATTTGTTGATTGATTGTTATCAGCGTTATAAAATAAACTGCATCGAACACAATAATATCACACTCAATAACTGATAAATACAAGCTACTGTCAGTTTAATCACACAATGTGTATTTGAAAAGTTTATCAGATCTACAGATGCACCCGCACTAAGAGAAAAATGTCGCATTCAAAGTGCATATGTGCGTCCCAAGCCTCATGGTCGTATTTATAGACGCCTCTCAAGTGACACTCAATCAACTTCGAGATCAACTGACGTGTAAGGGCGACTTGGACTTGAGTGTGGTGTTTAGGACCCTTGAGTGTGTTTTTCTAACTTAACTATTCTGGTACCACACCTTCTGTCATAGTTGAGCTAAGAATTACCATTTGCTATTCACACGTTTTGTTAAATGTATTATTAATATGAACGATTCGGAAGAAATTATGCAATACGTTGTTTAAGAAAGGCCCGAGTGGGTTCCAAAGAGATACATACGAGATATGCAAGATCCTTTCCAGTTCTACGGAGAGCAGGAATTTGTTCAGATATCG